AGGATGGAGCTAATGAGAGCATAGGCAATGGTGGACGAAGAGGATGGGGTAGGTAAAAAAATGTAGTGTTTAGAGTGTTCAGCAGAAGATTGTGGTTTACAGGGAAAGTGGGTGCAGGAGGGAAGAGGAGCGATTGGTGGAAATGATGAGTAAAGAGAGTAGTAAGGGAGAAAAGTTACATATGAGAAGTTTTTACAAAGTAGACGTGACTGCAAGAGGGAAGAGTATATGGAGAAAAAGAGAGAAGTTAAGAGAGTGGTGAACAATGTAAAAAGAGAGCAAATGAGAGATTGGGTGAGATGTTTATCAACAAATTTTTGTTTGAAAAAACGTAAAAGTTTTGGAGTGAGAATTAACAAGTTAAGAAAGCCTAGAGAACCACTGGATTAGTCAGTTTAAAAATATGAGAGGAGAGTTAATAAAATGGAGAGGTAGAGGTATTGGGAAGAAGGAAGGATATATTGAGGAAATTGTTAAATGGATGATAGAAGGATATGGAAGCAGGATTTCGTGTATAGGGCAAGGAGTGAATAACATCATGTAAGGAGTGAGGAAGAGCCATTATGTGAGTGTGGGGGAATTTCGTGAGCAGTAGGTTAAAATGAAAGGGGTAAGGCAGCCGGGATTGATGGGATAAAGAATAGAAATGTTAAAAAGCAGGTGGGGTTTAGTTTTGGAGTGGTTGGTGCAATTATTTAATAAAAGAATGGAAGAGGGTAAGGTAACCTAGGATTGGCAGAGATCAATGCATAGTTCCTTTGTATAAAGGCACAGGGGATCAAAGAAGTGCAAAAATATAGGGGGATCAAGTTCTGTTTGAGTGTACCTGGTAAATGTATGGGAGTTATAATTAAAAGAATAAGAGTAAGACGGAGAATAGGATAGCAGATGAACAATGGAGGCTTTAGGAAAGGAAGGGGTGTGTGGACCAGGTGTTTACCTTAAACATATAATTGAACAGAATTTTAGATAAGGTAAAAGAGTCTTTGTGGCATTTATTGATTTGGAAAAGCGTATGAACATGGTGGCTAGGGGGGCGAATGTTGCAGATGTATTCAAGTGTAAATGGTGTAGGAGGTAGGTTACTGAAAGCCGTGAAGAGTTTTTACGAGGATATTGAGGCTCAAGTTAGGTATGTAGGAAAGAGGGAAAGTTTTTTCCCAGTAAAGAAGGCCTTAGACAAGGATGTGTGTTGTCCCCCCCCCCACCGTGGTTGTTTAATATATTTATAGATGGGTTTAATAGAACGTAAATGCAAGGGTCTTGGCAAGAGGCGTGGAGTTAAAAGATAAAGAATCACACATCAAAGGTGGGAGTTGTCACAGCTGCTCTTTTGTGCTTGATGACAACTGTGCTCTTGGAGATTTCTGAAGAGAATATTGCGCGATGGTGATGAATTTGGTAGGTGGGTGCAAAGAAGCAATTAAAGGTGAATACAGAAAGAGTATGGTTATGAGGAATAACAAAAAGATTAGGTGATGAAGAATTGAATATCAGAATTGGAGGGAGAGAGTATGGAGGAGGTGAACGTATTCAGATTATTGGGAGTGAACGTGTCAGCGGATGGGTCTATGAAAGATGAGTGAATCATAGAATTGATGAGGGAAAAAAGTGAGTGTGCACTTAGGAGTCTGTGGAGACAAAGAACTTTGTCCTTGGAGGCACAGAGGGGAATGTATGAGAGTAAGTTTTACCAACGCTCTTATAAGGGTGGAAGCGTGGGTGCTGAATGTTGCAGCGAGGAAAATGGCTGAGCAGTGGCGATGTCATGTCTGAGGGCAATGTGTGGTGTGAATATAATGCAGAGAATTCGTAGTTTGGAAGTTTAGGATGGAGGTGCCGGGATACCAAAACTGTTTTGTCCAGAGGCTGAGGAAGGGTTGTTGAGGTGGTTCGGACATGTAGGAGAGAATGGAGCGAACAGAAATGACATCCAATAGTGTAACAGTCTTAGTGAAGAAGGCGGGGTAGGGGTTCGGGGGGCCTAGGAAGGGTTGGAGGGCAAAAGGGGGGGTAAAGGATTTTGTGTGCGAGGGGCTTGGACTTCCAGCAGGCATGCGTGAGCGTGTTTGATAGGAGTGAAAGTGAGACAAACGGTTTTTAATACCTTGACTTGCTGTTGGAGTGTGACAAAAGTAACATTATGAAGGGATTCAGGAAACCGGCAGGCCGGACTTGAGTCCTGGAGATGGGAAAGTACAGTGGGCCTGCACTCTGAAGGAGGGTGGTAATGTTGCAAGTTTAAAAACTGTAGTGTAAAGCACCCTTCTGGCAAGACAGTGATTGGAGTGAATGATGGTGAAAGTTTTTCATTTTCGGCCTACCCTGCCTTGGAGGGAATCGGGGCCGTGTGATAAAAAATAAAAAAAAATAAAAAAATATATATATATATATATATACTAATCTATATATATATATATTATAGTATAAATATCTAATATATACTTATATATATATATATATATATATATAAATATATATATATATATATATATGCTAAATAATAAATATATATATATAATATATATTAACAGTATCGTACATTATACAATATACATACATACATACGATGGACCACCGGATCACTGGTTATAATGAAAGGTTTTCCTTCAATCTTATATTGTGTTTTTGAGATTAATAATTTTCTGGCAAGATGTGTGGTATCGCTAGCTGTAACATTAACACTGGGTGGGTAGGTTAGGTTAGTTTAGGTTAAGGTAAAGGATCGTCAGGAAACAGACAAATGTTTTCCAGACGCGGGTCTTAGTCCAGATTGATGACCCGCCTTTGGAGCATTTGGTCATCTGAAGCCGAGGCCTATTTTTTGCCGCTGGCTTACCGTCCAGCCCATTAAAAATTATGGTCATTTATAACCATCGTTAGTATAAACCTGTGTGGGTATATCACAGTCACTTGTTTGCACAGAACTGCTTAAATGCCCTCAAATGATGTAGTGAAGTTTTAGAAGTAAAGGTCCGAAACACAAAACCTAGTCATTGTGGAGTCTATACAAGCCTCCGGATGCAACATACCAGCGATTCCAGGGATATAGATAATTACAATAGAGGTTTATTAAATTTGTGAATTAGGTGGGAGGGGCATGGATAGGGATGGTATAAGCTAATGTAGGATGGGCTGTCAGGGGTAGAAACGGGTCGTCTTCCTTGCTTAATGTAACGGGCGAATGTGTATGAACCTGTCTGTAATGATGTGTCCAACACGTCTGGAGATTGTAAAGACCACTGTACATTGTATTGAACTTGGTCATGTTTCCCTTATGTTAATATTTTTATTCATTTGTACTTTGTCTTTGGTGGTTATATTTCACCAATACTATATATAATTACCACTTAGTTTTATTCATATATGTCAAGTTAGGATGTTAAAGTTACCATGTTTGTGATAAACGATTCATAACCATATCGGGGTGAAGGGGGGGGGTAATTAATGTGTATGAGTTGACATCATAACCGGTAATACCCAACTTAATTGGTAGTTTGTATACATGTGTTTGACAAGAATATTTTCACATTGTGTCAGTATTATTTAAGTTTCATGTGAACATTTTAGTATACTTATCTTGCGCTTGTATTTGTAGCAATTTTTATATTATTGTGGTGTTGTTAGTATTCCTGATAACTAAACATGTGCATAGGAACCTATGAGCTCTGTTAACTTCAGTGTTACATTGTTCAATGTGAATTAATCTTTTGCATGTCTATAGACGACCTGGCTGAGGTGTCACTGTGTTTGGGATTCTTGTGTATTAATCTGTTCTTTGTTATCGCATTGCTTAAATAAAAAAAAAAAAAAAAAGCCAGGAACAACTTTTGAAAAATTGACCACTGTTCTGGAAAATCTTCCAGCTCCTGCCCCCAACAACTTGCTCCTGGGATTTCAACTTAAGGAACCTAAAATGGAGGAATATAGTAAATAATGTTGTAGTGATAACACCAGGAGGCAGCTCTGACCAGAACTCGCACACGCACGAGCTTTTAAATCTCTGCACAAAATTCAACTTAAACCAGCAAATAAGAGAAGCTACTAGACTTGGAGAATACACAAAACCTCATCTTCACTAACAAAGATGACTGAACGAAATGTCACCATATCAAAAACAATATACTCAGATCACAACAAATCGAGGTTCAGACATGTATGCGCGGAGCCCCAGACCGACTAAATGAGATTAGTTCCACGAGGGAGCATTCACCAAATTCGACTTCAATAACAAGAACATAAAGTGGACCAAGAACAGATTAACTCGGTGGCGCTCGATGTAAGCGCAAGGCTATTCCTTTAAGAAAAAGGAGTAGATGTAAAATAGAAAGAGACAGGCGCTCCCTTTAAGGGGGTTAGCCCCATTAACCCCCATTGGGGGGGGTTTTTAAAATGCAGTAAACGGAGTTTTTAGATTTTTTTTTTTTATTCAGTTATAGAGGCAGCAGATGTACATCTCGTGCAGCCTGGAAATCCAACCTCGGTGCCTTTGATTATGAGCCGAAAACTCAGAAACGCTTATGAATGCGAACTTATTTATATGTACCGAGATTATATATGTATGTAATATATATATATAATATATATATATATATATATATATATATATATATATATAATATATATATATATATAAAAGGAGAAGTGACAGGACTGTGGGAGGTGTTGTGGAGTGACAGGACTGTGGGAGTGTGTTGTGGAGTGACAGGACTGTGGGAGGTGTTGTGGAGTGACAGGACTGTGGGAGGTGTTGAGGAGTGACAGGACTGTGGGAGGTGTTGAGGAGTGACAGGACTGTGGGAGGTGTTGTGGAGTGACAGGACTGTGGGAGGTGTTGTGGAGTGACAGGACTGTGGGAGGTGTTGTGGAGTGACAGGACTGTGGGAGGTGTTGAGGAGTGACAGGACTGTGGGAGGTGTTGTGGAGTGACAGGACTGTGGGAGGTGTTGTGGAGTGACAGGACTGTGGGAGGTGTTGTGGGTGCAGTAATTGCGTGGGAGCCAAGAGCAGCAGCAGCATCGACCAGGTCGAGGCAACAGCTGCACCAAATATACCTCAGTGTGGCGTAGACGGAGGCAGGAGGAGGCAAGCTTCTCCATGGCTGCCAGAACTCAACACTCCACCATTAACACCTACCATCATATTCCTACCTGCAGTGGCCACCAGCCCCGTTGTGTTTTTGGTAGTTTCTTCTTCCTCCCTCCCAGAAATATGTAAAAAAAGGGAGGAAGGTATCTGCTGATAGTGTTTTTGAGAGATATATAACGCAGTTGTCTCGTCTAAAGGCGGAACTGCTTCCCCTGATCTGGTCACCTCAGGTGAGTATTTCATGTAATTTATTTCATTACTCAAACTAGGTACATCATATTGGCTGACTGCTTCAATCTATGCTAGATTATCAGTGCTGGGACTTGAACTAATGTTTGCATAACATCAGGATCCTTATTTCCAGGTAATATTCCATTACACTTCCAGTCACTCCATCCAACAAGACGAGGTTTACCCTCACATAAAATCAAATGATGGCTTTTTATTTCATATTATCGTTACTCGAGATTATTTTCCTGTCACTCTCCTCCACAGAATGGATTTCCTATCATATTATGTCCTTCATATAGGTTAGATTTTCCGGCGTATTGCATTACATAGGATGAAATATACATATATATATATATATATATATATATATATATATATATATATATATATATATATATATATATATATATATTTTAATATATATTATATTTATATATATATATATATATATATATATAAATATATATATATATATATATATATATTATATATATATATATTTTATATATACATATATTATACAGTATCGTACATAATACATATATACATACATACATACAATGACCACCCATCACTGGTTATGAATGTAGAGGGTTCCTTCAATTCTTATTTTTGTTTTTGAGATTAATATTTTCTGGCAGATGTGTGGTAGTCGCTAGGCTTGTAACATTAACACTGGGTGGTAGGTTAGGTTAGTTTAGTTAAGGGTAAGGTTCGTCAGGAAACAGGACAAATGTTTCCTGACGCGGGTCTTAGAAGATGATGACCCGCCTTTGGAGCTTTTGGTCATCTGACCGAGGCCTTCCGCTGGCTTACCCGTCCACCCCTTTAAAAATTATGGTCATTTATAACCATTGTTATATAACACTGGGTGGTATATCACAGTCACTTATTTGCACAGAACTGCTTAATGCCTCAAATGATGTAGTGGAAGTTTTAGAAGTAAAGATCGAGAACCAAAACCTAGTCATTGTGGTAGTCTACAAGCCTCCGGATGCAACATACCAGCGATTCCAGGGATAAAGAGAAGTTACATTAGAGGTTTTATTAAATTTGTGAATTAGGTGGGAGGGGCAGGGTAGGGATGGTAAATGCTAATGTAGGATGGGCTGTCAGGGGTAGAAACTGGGTCGTCTCCTTGCATAATGTAACGGGCGAATGTGTATGAACCTGTGTGTATGATGTGTCATCACAGTCTGGAGAGTGTAAGACCACTGTCATGTGTTTGACTTGGCCATGTTTCCCTTATGTTAATATTTTTATTCATTGTACTGTGTCTTTGGTGTTATTGTTTCACCAATACTTATATAATTACCACTTAGTTTATTCATATATGTCAAGTTAGGATGTTAAAGTTACCATGTTGGTGATAACGATCATATCCATTTCGGGGTGAAGGGGGGGGGGGTAATTAATGTGAATGAGTTGAAATCATTACCGGTAATACCAACTTTATTGGTAGTTGTATACATGTGTTTGGCATGTAATATTTCACATTGTGTCAGTATTATTTAAGTTCTTGTGACATTTTAGTATACTTATCTTCGCTTGTATTTGTAGCAATGTTTTATATTTTGTGGTGATGTTAGTTTCATTGGTAACTAAACATGTGCATAGGTAGCCTTTGAGCTTTGTTGAACTTCAGTGTTACATTGTTCTATGTGATATTAATCTTTTGCATGTATTTAGACGACCTGGTTGAGGTGTCACTGTGTTGGATTCTTGTGTATTAATCTGTTCTGTGTATTCGCATTGCTTTAAATAAAAAAAAAAAAAAATCCAGGAACAGCTGTTGAAAATTGACCACTGTCTGGAAAATCTTCCAGCTCCTGCCCCCAACATCTTGCTCCTGGGGGATTTCAACTTAAGGCACCTAAAATGGAGGAATATAGCAAATAATATTGTTGCAGTAATAACACCAGGAGGCAGCTCTGACCAGAACTCGCACACGCACGAGCTTTTAAATCTCTGCACAAAATTCAACTTAAACCAGCAAATAATAGAGCCTACTAGACTGGAGAATACACTAAACCTCATCTTCACTAACAATGATGATCTGATACGAAATGTCACCATATCAAAAACAATATACTCAGATCACAACATAATTGAGGTTCAGACATGTATGCGCGGAGCCCCAGACCGACATAATGAGATTAGTCATGAGGGAGCATTCACCAAATTCGACTTCAATAACAAGAACATAAAGTGGGACCAAGAACAGATTAACTCGGTGGCGCTCGATGTATGCTCAAGGCTTATTCCTTTAAGAAAAAGGAGTAGATGTAAAATAGAAAGAGACAGGCGCTCCCTTTACAGACTACGGAAAAGAATAACAGAGCGGCTAAAAGAGGTCAATATATCTGAAATGCGTAGGGAGACACTAGTCAGAGAAATAGCAAACATCGAACTAAAGCTAAAGGAATCTTGTAGGAGTCAGGAATCGCGGAAGAACTAAAAGCCATAAATGAAATCGAAAGAAACCCAAAGTATTTCTTTTCTTATGCCAAATCAAAGTCGAGAACAACATGCAGTATTGGGCCCCTACTTAAACAAGATGGGTCCTACACAGATGACAGCAAGGAAATGAGTGAGCTACTCAAGTCACAATATAACTCAGTTTTTAGCAAGCCGCTAACCAGACTGAGAGTCGAAGATCAAAATGAATTTTTCATGAGAGAGCCACAAAATTTGGTAAACACAAGCCTATCTGATGTTATCCTGACGCCAAATGACTTCGAACAGGCGATAAATGACATGCCCATGCACTCTGCCCCAGGGCCAGATTCATGGAACTCCGTGTTCATCAAGAACTGCAAGAAGCCCCTATCACGTGCTTTTACCATCCTATGGAGAGGGAGCATGGACACGGGGGTCGCCCCACAGTTACTAAAAACAACAGATATAGCCCCACTAGCGCTAACATCCCATATCATAAAAATCTTTGAAAGGGTTTTAAGAAACAAGATCGCCACCCATCTAGATACCCATCAATTACACAACCCAGGGCAACATGGGTCTAGAGCAGGTCGCTCCTGTCTGTCCCAACTACTGGATCACTACGAGAAGGTCCTAGATGCACTAGAAGACAAAAAGAATGCAGATGCAATATATACAGACTTTGCAAAAGCCTTCGACAAGTGTGACCATGGTGTAATAGCGCACAAAATGCGTGCTAAAGGAATAACAGGAAAAGTTGGTAGATGGATCTATAATTTCCTCAGAAACAGAACACAAAGAGTAGTAGTCAACAGAGTAAAGTCTGAGGCAGCTACGGTGAAAAGCTCTGTTCCACAAGGCACAGTACTCGCTCCCATCTTGTTTCTCATCCTCATATCTGACATAGACAAGGATGTCAGCCACAGAACCGTGTCTTCCTTTGCAGATGACACCCGAATCTGCATGACAGTGTCTTCCATGCAGACTCTGCAAGACTCCAGGCGGACATCAACCAAATCTTTCAGTGGGCTGCAGAAAACAATATGAAGTTCAATGATGAGAAATTTCAATTACTCAGATATGGTAAACATGAGGAAATTAAATCTTCATCAGAGTACAAAACAAATTCTGGCCACAAAATAGAGCGAAAAACCAACGTCAAAGACCTGGGAGTGATCATGTCGGAGGATCTCACCTTCAAGAACCATAACATTGTATCAATCGCATCTGCTAGAAAAATGACAGAATGATTAACGAGAACCTTCAAAACTAGGGATGCCAAGCCCATGATGACACTTCAGGTCCCTTGTTCTATCTAGGCTGGAATATTGCTGCACACTAACAGCACCTTTCAAGGCAGGTGAAATTGCTGACCTAGAAAATGTACAGAGAACCTTCACGGCGCGCATAACGGAGATAAAACACCTCAATTACTGGGAGCGCTTGAAGTTCCTGAACCTGTACTCCCTGGAACGCAGGCGGGAGAGGTACATTATTATATATACCTGGAAAATCCTAGAGGGACTAGTACCGAACTTGCACACGAAAATCACTCACTACGAAAGCAAAAGACTCCGCAGACTATGCAACATCCCCCCAATGAAAAGCAGGGGTGTCACTAGCACGTTAAGAGAATACAATAAGTGTCAGGGGCCCGAGACTGTTCAACTGCCTCCCAGCATACATAAGGGGGATTACCAATAGACCCCTGGCTGTCTTCAAGCTGGCACTGGATAAGCACCTAAAGTCGGTACCTGACCAGCCGGGCTGTGGCTCGTACGTTGGATTGCGTGCAGCCAACAGTAACAGCCTGGTTGATCAGGGTCTGATCCACCATGAGGCCTGGTCACAGACCGGGCCACGGGGGCGTTGACCCCCGGAACTCTCTCCAGGTAAACTCCAGGTAATGCCACTTGTTGTGCCAGCCTAACATATGTTATATACTGGCACGGTGCCAAGCTCCTACCAGACCCACTGTGTGTAATTTTTATAGCCAGAGGGTGAAGGATGTTGTGAATATTCCTTACTGGAGGAAAATGGATTTAGGACTGAAGAAAGGATTGCAGTCTAAGTGTTAGGCTGAATTTAGGAAATTTTGGGAATAGCCCAGTAATTTATTTTATTTATTTATTTTATGTCTTTGCACAAAGTACATTGAGATTTTTGTATTTACAACAGTGGGTTGTAATACAAAGACAGCCTCTATTATGCCTAGGTATTATGGGCCGACTTAAAACATTATTGGCTTACAGACCACTTAATACCAAGGATTGTATCATAGTTGTATTGTAGGATAGTAATTATTTCATAGTTGTAAAGTAGATTATTAATTATAAGTGAATCTAATTTGTATAAGACAAAAGATATATTCGTATATTCAAAAATGATTTTTGTGAAAACAATGATTTAATTATATTTCTGTCAACAGTGGATACAAGGTTCAAGGTAATTGTTGAAGTTATGATGTGGGAGAACATAGGTGAGTCTGTGTGTACTGAGTATTTAGTGTTTAGTCTAGGGTGATTAAGTGGCTTTTGAGAAGAGTCTTAAATTGATTGTCAGACTGTGTTACTTTAATATTTTCTGGTAATGAATTCCATATTTTGGGGCCCTTTATGTGCATAGAGTTTTTACAGTGTGATATGGACACGAGGTATGTCAAAAAGAGATCTGTGTCTTGTGTTGTGGTCATGTGTCCTGTTTAGGTTGGTGAGGAGAAGTTTGAGTGGAGGGTTTATATTTGCGTGTATTGTTCTGTGTATGTAGTAGGCACATGAATAAGTATGAATGTTCTTAATGGTGAACAGATTCAGACTTGAAAATTGGTGGAGTATGCTGGCGGGAGTGGGAATTTGTTATCATTCTTACTGCTGCCTTTTGCTGGGTTATGAGGGGTTTTAGGTGATTGGATGTTGTTGATCCCCATGCACAAATTCCATATGTAAGATAAGGGTATATGAGTGTATGGTACAGTGCCAGGAGAGTTGATTGTGGAACATAGTACCTTATCTTTGATAGTATGCCTACAGTCTTGGAGATTTTCTTGGTGATTTGTTGTATGTGTGTGTGTCTGGAACTTAAGGCTACTGTCAAGGTGGACACCTAAGAATTTTCCCTCTGTAAGTCTTGTGACTGATGATCCGTTTAGCGTTATGTTAATTTGATCATTTGCAGCTTTGTTTCCAAACTGAATGAAATAGGTTTGATCAGTGTTCAGGGTAAGTCTATTTGTACTCATCCAGGCAGATATTTTCTGCAATCGGCATTGACTGTGTTTGCTAGTATGATTGTGTTTGGGTGGGAAAAGACATATGTAATGTCATCTGCAAATAATATGAGTTTGAGTAGCTGTAATGCATTCGGCAGATCATTGATGTAGAAGAGAAAGAGGAGTGGTCCAAGGACGCTTCCTTGTGGGACTCCTACTGTGATTGGTTGGGTGGAAGAGTTTGCATCATTTGCATATTGAGTTCTGTTACTAAGGTATGGTTTTAGGTAGTTGAGGGAGTGGCCTCTGTTACCATAGTTCGTTAGTTTGGAGTACAGCAGTTCATGGTCGACTGTATCGAAAGCTTTACGTAAATCAGTGAAAATGCCCAGCGGGACTTCTTTCTTTTCAAGTGCGGTATATATTAGTTCTAGCATGTGTATGATAGCATCAAATGTGCTTGTATTATTCCTGAATCCAAACTGACAAGGGTTTAATATGTTGTATGAGACGAAGTAGGAATAGATCCGTCTATGAATTAATTTTTCAAAGATTTTAGAGAGCAGCGGTAAGTTAGATATTGGTCTATAGTTATTCAAGTCAGCTTGGTCACCTCCTTTATGGATCGGAGTGACCCTCGCTATTTTGAGGATTGTTGGGAAGGTAGATGATTCAATGGATTTGTTAAAGAGTGTTGCAATAATGGGTGACAATACTTGAGAAGCTTTTTTGTACATAAAAGCAGGAAGTTGTTTATGTCTCCTGCCTTGTTTTTAAGGTGTTTATGATGAGTGTAACTTCTGTGGGGTTGGTAGGAGCTAGGAATAGCGTATTTGGGTAGGTACCTATAAGGTAGTCTGATGGACGAGTGTTTACGCTTGGTATTTTGTTCGCTATATTTTTACCTATGGTGGAGAAGAAAACATTGAGTTTGTTTGTTGTTTCAGTAGGTGTGAGTTGGGGTTCATTTGATTTTGTTAGTTTAATTGTTTTGTTTTTGGATAACTTTTTAGTACCAATAATTTCAGATAGAGTTTTCCAGGTTTTTTTCATATCACCTTTGATGTTTTGTAATCTATTTTCATAATACAATTATTTTTAGATCTTATCAGACTGGTAAGAGCTGACGAGTAACGTTTAGACTATAATAACTAAGTAAGTTTATGTAGGCACAGGTACACGTAAGAACAATTATCAAACACACTGTAAGTTACCTAGGAAAACCCAAAAAAGTCAAAGTGACTTATTTCCACTCATAATAATATGATTTGTGTTGCATATGCTTCATACGGATTTATATTTTTGTGGATATAACTATAATAACAAAAGAACTGGAAATTATTATGGTTGGGTTTAATATCCCTGACTGGTAATATTCACTATGATGTGTATTTCTCATCGTGAATATACTGACTTTGTTCCTCATTTTAGGGATCTAAATATTCTTGTATGGTTGTAAAAAGGTTACTTGCAGCCTTTAATAATCCTAGAGTAGTCGATAGGCATTAAACCCCATTAACAAACCAAAGGTTAATGGTAGGGTTCACTCTCGCTAGTAAGAAACACTGCTAATAAGAATCTTAGTCTCGGCTTCTCGGCTTCTCGGCTTCTCGGCTTGCTGCTCGGTACTGCGTTCAGTGTTGTAGAATTAGAACACGTTAGTTTAACCTATCACTCTCATTACTGCTCATTGCCACAACTTTGTCCTGTTTTTGTTGGCACTAACCGTTCCTCTCTTGGGTGCAATAATGTGTTGAACACAACAGTGAAGAGAAAGACAAGTTGCAGGACAAGCTTTTATTAGAGCAACATTTACCTCTGTGTAGAGAAGGTCTCTCAACTCTTGAATTTATAGAGTTCTATAGAGAGGTAAACTTCCAGTGAAACCTTGTTCTCTATCTTATGTACATTTCTTCATATTTCCCACTCTTTTTTCTTTTTTTCTCTTCAAACCAGTACAAGAGAGATCTGCTAGAGTAGCCGGGTTAATTAGTTTTCTATAGAGAACATTAGTGTGGACTATAACATGGGAAACCACAGAAGGGATGGTCTTAGTTATGACCATAACAACTCATCCCCCACATAAGGTATATTGCCCAACCCTTGAAAACATTGCCGTAATTCATTTTCCCATGCATTTTCAACTCCATCTCTCACATGCACCAAAGGCAGTCTGACAAAAAGTATTGCTAATGCCGGTACATTATCTAAACTGATCCTAAAGACTCTTACTTTGTACTCTGAGTTTAACTGGCATATCGGACATTTCTCAACAAGAGTGATAACTCATTTACCCTCATTCATATTCTAGCTGTGTTTTCCCAGAAGTGAATGAACCTAACAGTTCAATGACCCATCATACTGCAACATTCCAGCCCATCTTTCAAAGTATAAGCAAGGAATATTCCTCCTTGCGAACTTGTTTCCCTGAGCCCCTTCATAGATCTTACCTCGCTTACACTCCAACACCACATAAAATTCCCAAAACTATTCGTCTCTCCTCTAACACTATCAATTATATAACATTAATAAACCTGTACTGTGGTTGGTTTGCAAGCGTGTCATTACGATTTCCTGAGCCACTAACCTGTATGACCTTTGTGGTTTAGCGCTTTTTGATTATTATAATAATAATAATTGAGGCACTAACAGATGTTTGCTGCATGTTCAAGCACGTACACTTAAAATCTGCACACCCTTCTCCCAGTCCTTCCTCGGACGTTCCTTACACCTTTCATCTACTACAGATGCGCACACCATCTAAATCAATCTATCTTGCTTTATTCTTCCTTCATGACCAGATCCTCTCCCAAAAGCACTACCATTGAGCAATTGTAATAATTCTCGGCGGTGGTATTGTCAGGATCGCTGGCCCTGGAGTACAGAATAAAAGGCCTTAGGGAAAAACGCCTAAGATTTCTCTTTAAGGCTGCGTAATTTCTTTTAAAACCTCTTTTATTTTCATGAGTAATAAATAATTTTTTACGAATTCAGTTGGACTGGTGGTGAGCGAGGCAAGATGGGCAAGATGGGCAAGGAGGGTGGTCATGTATGGGAGTATAACTTTACTGACATGGCGTTCCTCAACGCCACCCATCATGACTGGCACACTATCATCAACACTACTGAGGATGACTGGCACACTACCGTCAATATTACTGAGGATGACTGGCACACTACCGTCAACACTACTGAGGATGACTGGCACACTACCGTCAACACTACTGAGGATGACTGGCAGATTAATGTCAATGCTACCTTCCTAGGTAGGTGTTCCTAAGATAGTTATTAAAGTTTATCTACCGATTTGGTATTGTATTTTGTTCACGAGGCTGGCACATTACTTCAGTACTGGTTTTTTAAATCAGTTTTTTTAGGATAGTTGAAACACAACATGTGCGACTTAAGTTTTCGGACGGAGGAAAGAGCTGCCACTATTCCTTCGCTGAATTAATATATTTGTGTGAGGATAACTCCAATTTATTAGATCAGAAGCCTTCATCAGCATCAAGAGTTGCTATTTACGTCACGAGTTGCTATTTACAGGGTCGCTGTTTTCGTGCGACAAGTGGAGCCAGCCTCAGCATCTGCTCTTCCAGCTGGCCAACGGCTGTTTTTTCGTCAGCTATCTGGCTCCCTCGCAGCGGAAAGGACTCCTCTTCATGCATCTCATTCTTATACTCGGTATGTGTCTCTGATTGCCTTGTCTGTCAGTCTGTCTCGTCTTATCTCCGTCTGCCTTTGTCTCTCTCCACCTGTCCGTCTCTACCTTTCAGGCTCCATGTCTCTGCCTGTCTTATCTCTGTCTGTTGGTCTCTTTTTGTGTGTTTCCGTCCGTATGTGCGTTTGCACATTCATGTGTACTTTTTTCAGTCTATGTCCCTCAATCTCAATTATCTGTCACCACAGAGTAAGACGAAAGTGGGCGTTGTATTACCCACTCTCTAATAGGCGTGGACGTGCGTTGTTATTGCAGGATTCTTGCTGTACTCAACGTGGGCGTGGAATGTGATCTGCGCCCCAGATGTCTTCTCCTGGAACTTCACCTTCATGCTGCTTAACATGGGTCAGACGCTCTACATTATCTACCAGATGCGACCTGTTAAGGTCAACAAGGAGTTGGAAGCCATGTATGAAGCGCTCTTCCAGCCCCTTAATGTGAGCATCCTGGCGCTCTAATCCTGGCTACTTTACGAGAAGGGGAGATAGTTACAGGGAAAGGGGGAAGAGAAAAGGAGAGGAATGTAGGGAGAGAGAGATAAAAACAGAGAAAATAGAGATAGCAGAGGACCATCAATTTCGTCCTAGACTAAGAAATATAGTGTATTATCTAGGTGTGTGAGTCAAGGATAGAAAAGCAGAAGGCTTTCTCCCCATCCTCAGTCCCCTCTGACACTGCCGGCATGAAAACTGAGAGGAGATAAGAGACTGGGAAAGGAAGGGAGGTTAAAAAAAGACAAAGTGGTGAACGGTAGGAGAGGAAGAGACAGAGAAAAAAGAGAATAAGAGAAATAATGAGAGAGAGAAATGAAAGAATGTAGTTGTATTGTAAGTGTATTATTGTAGTTGTATTGTTAAAAGTGTATTGATGTAGGTGTATTAATACAGGTGCCACGGCTGCTGTTCAAGAGGTTGGTGTCGGTGGAGTATGCGCAGGTGATGTCACTACACGCAGGTGAGGCCTATGCTATGCAGAACCTCACTCGCACTGATAGGCTGGGACTACTACTCTCTGGGAAGGTCAGTTCTCAGGGGTCGTTCAGGTGAGGCCTATGCTATGCAGAACCTCACTCGCACTGATAGGCTGGGAATACTACTCTCTGGGAAGGTCAGTTCTCAGGGGTCGTTCAGGTGAGGCCTATGCTATGCAGAACCTCACTCGCACTGATAGGCTGGGTCTACTACTCTCTGGGAAGGTCAGTTCTCAGGGGTCGTTCAGGTGAGGCCTATGCTATGCAGAACCTCACTCGCACTGATAGGCTGGGACTACTACTCTCTGGGAAGGTCAGTTCTCAGGGGTCGTTCAGGTGAGGCCTATGCTATGCAGAACCTCACTCGCACTGATAGGCTGGGTCTACTACTCTCTGGGAAGGTCAGTTCTCAGGGGTCGTTCAGGTGAGGCCTATGCTATGCAGAAAACCCCACTCGCACTGATAGGCTGGGTCTACTACTCTCTGGGAAGGTCAGTTCTCAGGGGTCGTTCAGGTGAGGCCTATGCTATGCAGAACCTCACTCGCACTGATAGGCTGGGTCTACTACTCTCTGGGAAGGTCAGTTCTCAGGGGTCGTTCAGGTGAGGCCTATGCTATGCAGAACCTCACTCGCACTGATAGGCTGGGTCTACTACTCTCTGGGAAGGTGTTACAAAAAACGCGATTCTAAAAGCTTAGAGATCTCCATGTAATACTAGAAAGGACTGCCCTTCTAGCATCCAGCCTGTTACTGGGTTTTCGTAACAATTAGTCAGTATCCTGGTCCAATTATCCATTAGAATTCAATAAGAATTATTAGTGCTTCAGGATTACAACTGGTAGGCTACTAACTTGAGAAATTAAAATTTAATAAATTTATTAATAACTGTCTAGAGGTATATCAAATTAAATTAAATTAATCACAGTAATCAAAATAATATTAATCACTTCTCTCGTGTACAGTATTATTGTGCTGAAAGCACATATCACATTTATAATTCTTAAGTACCGTCTGGTACATTAACATTTAATAAGATAATATACAAATAAGTGTGTGTATGTGTGTAAGTGCTCGAAGTAGTTCACTATGTCTCACGACTCGAATAGACTTAAACAAGTGACTGACAAAGTCCCCACAAACTAACTTCTCGACCAACTGGCAATCAGAACAGTCTGCTTGAACAATAAAAAGAATGCTAAGCCCAATAGCAATATAACAAGCAACTGCGACACAGAATCAGGAACAAGGAGATAATATAACGACACTAAGTAGGGACCATCTGCAGATCCTCCACAAAAGTCACAAAACTCCCATAATACTGAATCTAAGTTCAGCATAAGAAAATATCCGACTGTGACAATACACAGATACCAGTACAAGTTAGGTCAGAAGCTACAGCTCAGGTCCTGAGTTACTCAGAGTGTCTAAGCGACACACAACCTCAGTACAACGTCGAAAATCACTAAGTCTATACAATGTTCTGTGAACAGTCTCCAGAACTAACAAGAAAGCTACAGAGAGTCCCACCAGTACTACCACCACTGTTACCACAACTAACATTACAACCACCAGTACTACCACCACTGTTACCACAACTAACATTACAACCACCAGTACTACCACCACTGTTACCACAACTAACATTACAACCACCAGTACTACCACTACTGTTACCACAACTAACATTACAACCACCAGTACTACCACCACTGTTACCACAACTAACATTACAACCACCAGTACTACCACCACTGTTACCACAACTAACATTACAACCACCAGTACTACCACCACTTACCACAACTATCATTACAACCACCAGTACTACCACCACTGTTACCACAACTAACATTACAACCACCAGTACTACCACCACTGTTACCACAACTAACATTACAACCACCAGTACTACCACCACTGTTACCACAACTATCATTACAACCACCAGTACTACCACCACTGTTACCACAACTAACATTACAACCACCAGTACTACCACCACTGTTACCACAACTAACATTACAACCACCAGTAACCACCACTGTTACCACAACTAACATTACAATCACCAGTACTACCACCACTGTTACCACAACTAACATTAACAACCACCAGTACTACCACCACTGTTACCACAACTAACATTACAACCACCAGTACTACCACCACTGTTACCACAACTAACATTACAACCACCAGTACTACCACCACTGTTACCACAACTATCATTACAACCACCAGTACTACCACCACTGTTACCACAACTAACATTACAACCACCAGTACAACCACCACTGTTACCCACAACTAACATTACAACCACCAGTACTACCACCACTGTTACCACAACTAACATTACAACCACCAGTACTACCACCACTGTTACCACAACTATCATTACAACCACCAGTACTACCACCACTGTTACCAAAACTAACATTACAACCACCAGTACTACCACCACTGTTACCACAACTAACATTACAACCACCAGTACTACCACCACTGTTACCACAACTATCATTACAACCACCAGTACTACCACCACTGTTACCACAACTAACATTACAACCACCAGTACTACCACCACTGTTACCACAACTAACATTACAACCACCAGTACTACCACTATCATTACAACCACCAGTACTACCACCACTGTTACCACAACTAACATTACAACCACCAGTACTACCACCACTGTTACCACAACTAACATTACAACCACCAGTACTACCCCAACTGTTACCACAACTAACATTACAACCACCAGTACTACCACCACTGTTACCACAACTAACATTACAACCACCAGTACTACCACCACTGTTACCACAACTAACATTACAACCACCAGTACTACCACCACTGTTACCACAACTATCATTACAACCACCAGTACTACCACCACTGTTACCACAACTAACATTACAACCACCATACTACCACCACTGTTACCACAACTATCATTACAACCACCAGTACTACCACCACTGTTACCACAACTAACATTACAACCACCAGTACTACCACCACTGTTACCACAACTAACATTACAACCACCAGTACTACCACCACTGTTACCACAACTATCATTAGAACCACCAGTACTACCACCACTGTTACCACAACTAACATTACAACCACCAGTACTACCACCACTGTTACCACAACTATCATTACAACCACCAGTACTACCACCACTGTTACCACAACTAACATTACAACCACCAGTACTACCACCACTGTTACCACAACTATCATTACAACCACCAGTACTACCACCACTGTTACCACAACAACATTACAACCACCAGTACTACCACCACTGTTACCACAACTAACATTACAACCACCAGTACTACCACCACTGTTACCACAACTATCATTACAACCACCAGTACTACCACCACTGTTACCACAACTAACATTACAACCACCAGTACTACCACCACTGTTACCACAACTATCATTACAACCACAAGTACTACCACCACTGTTACCACAACTAACATTACAACCACCAGTACTACCAACACTGTTACCACAACTATCATTACAACCACCAGTACTACCACCACTGTTACCACAACTAACATTACAACCACCAGTACTACCACCACTGTTACCACAACTATCATTACAACCACCAGTACTACCACCACTGTTACCACAACTATCATTACAACCACCAGTACTACCACCACTGTTACCACAACTAACATTACAACCACCAGTACTACCACCCCTGTTACACAACTATCATTACAACCACCAGTACTAGCACCACTGTTACCACAACTATCATTACAACCACCAGTACTACCACTATCATTACAACCACCAGTACTACCACCACTGTTACCACAACTAAAAATTACAACCACCAGTACTAACCACTACTGTTACCACAACTAACATTACAACCACCAGTACTACCACCACTTGTTACCACAACTAACATTACAACCACCAGTACTACCACCACTGTTACCACAACTAACATTACAACCACCAGTACTACCACCACTGTTACCACAACTAACATTACAACCACCAGTACTACCACCACTGTTACCACAACTAACATTACAACCACCAGTACTACCACCACTGTTACCACAACTATCATTACAACCACCAGTACTACCACCACTGTTACCACAACTATCATTACAACCACCAGTACTACCACCACTTACCACAACTATCATTACAACCACCAGTACTACCACTATCATTACAAATACCAGTACTACCACCACTGTTACCACAACTATTGTTTTCCACCACCACCGCCGCCGCCGCCGCCGCCGCCGCCGTCGCCACCGCCAGCGCCCACCACCACCACCACCACCACCACCACCACCACCACCACCACCACCACCACCACCACCACTGTTACCACAACTATTGTTACCACCACCAGTACTACCACCACTGTTACCACAACTATTGTTACCACCACCAGTACTACCACCACTTACCACAACTATTGTTACCACCACCAGTACTACCACCACTGTTACCACAACTATTGTTACCACCACTGTTACCACAACTATTGTTACCACCACCAGTACTACCACCATCATTACCACCACCAGTACTACCACCATCATTACCACCACCAGTACTACCACCATCATTACCACCACCAGTACTACCACCATCATTACCACCACCAGTACTACCACCATCATTACCACCACCAGTATTACCATCATTACTACCACCAGTACTACCACCACCAGTACTACCACCATCATTACCATCACCAGTACTACCACCATCATTACCACCACCAGTACTACCACCATCATTACCACCACCAGTACTACCACCATCATTACCCACCACCATACTACCACCATCATTACCACCACCAGTACTACCACCATCATTACCACCACCAGTACTACCACCATCATTACCACCACCAGTATTACCATCATTACTACCACCCAGTACTACCACCACCAGTACCACCACCATCATTACCATCACCAGTACTACCACCATCATTACCACCCGTACTACCACCATCATTACCACCACCAGTACTACCACCATCATTACCATCACCAGTACTACCACCATCATTACCACCACCAATACTACCACCATTATTACCACCACCAGTACTACCACCATCATTTACCATCACCAGTACTACCACGATCATTGCCACCACAGTACTACCACCATCATTACTACCACCAGTACTACCACCATCATTACCACCACTAGTACTACCACCATCATTACCACCACCAGTACTACCACCATTATTACCACCACCAGTACTACCACCATCATTACCATCACCAGTACTACCACCATCATTGCCACCACCAGTACTACCACCATCATTACTACCGCCAGTACTACCACCATCATTACCACCACTAGTACTACCACCATCATTGCCACCACCAGTACCACCACCATCATTACTACCACCAGTACCACCACCATCATTACCACCAACAGTACTACCACCATCATTACCACCACCAGTACTACCGTCAGTACTACCACCATCATTACTACCACCAGTACTACCACCATCATTACCACCACCAGTACTACCACCATCATTACCTCCACCAGTACTACCGTCAGTACTACCACCAGTACTACCACCATCATTACCACCACTAGTACTACCACCATCATTGCCACCACCAGTACTACCACCATCATTACTACCACCAGTACCACCACCATCATTACCACCACCAGTACTACCACCATCATTACCACCACCAGTACTACCGTCAGTACTACCACCATCATTACTACCACCAGTACTACCACCATCATTACTACCACCAGTACTACCACCATCATTACTACCACCAGTACTACCACCATCATTACCACCACCAGTACTACCACCATCATTACCACCACCAGTACTACCGTCAGTACTACCACCATCATTACTACCACCAGTACTACCACCATCATTACTACCACCAGTACCACCACCATCATTACCACCACCAGTACTACCACCATCGTTACCACCACCAGTACTACCGTCAGTACTACCACCATCATTACTACCACCAGTACTACCACCATCATTACTACCACCAGTACTACCACCATCATTACCACCACCAGTACTACCACCATCATTACTACCACCAGTACTACCACCATCATTACTACCACCAGTACTACCATCATTACTACCACCAGTACTACCACCATCATTACCACCACCAGTACTACCACCATCATTACCACCACCAGTACTACCGTCAGTACTACCACCATCATTACTACCACCATACTACCACCATCATTACCACCACCAGTACTACCACCATCATTACTACCACCAGTACTACCACCATCAAATTTCCATCACCATACTAACCACCATCATTACCACCACCAGTACTACCGTCAGTACTACCACCATCATTACTACCACCAGTACTACCACCATCATTACTACCACCAGTACTACCACCATCATTACCACCACCAGTACTACCAACCATCATTACTACCACCAGTACTACCACCATCATTACCACCACCAGTACTACCACCATCATTACCACCACCAGTACTACCGTCAGTACTACCACCATCATTACTACCACCATATACCACCATCATTACTACCACCAGTACTACCACCATCATTACCACCACCAGTACTACCACTATCATTACCTCCACCAGTACTACCGTCAGTACTACCACCAGTACTACCACCATCATTATCACCACCATGTACTACCACCATCATTACCACCATCATTACTAAACCACCAGTACTACACCAGTACTACCACCATCATTACTACCACCAGTACTACCACCAGCACTACCACCACCATCATTACCACCACCAGTACTACCACCAGTACTACCACCAGCACTACCACCACCATCATTACCACCACCATCACTACCACCACAGCACTACCACCACCATCATACCACCACCAGTACTACCACCAGTACTACCACCAGCACTACCACCACCATCATTACCACCACCATCACTACCACCACCAGCACTACCACCACCATCATTACCACCACCAGTACTACCACCACCATCATTACCACCACCAGTACTACCACCACCAGTACTACCACCAGCACTACCACCACCATCATTACCACCACCAGTACTACCACCACTACCTTCTCTCTCACACAGGTTAACGTGATGGCTGAGAATCAGTACTACCGTCAGTACTACCACCAGTACTACCACCAGCACTACCACCACCATCATTACCACTATCATTACCTCCACCAGTACTACCGTCATTACTACCACCAGTACTACCACCAGTACTACCGTCAGTACTACCGTCAGTACTACCACCAGTACTACCACCAGCACTACCACCACCATCATTACCACCACCATCACTACCACCACTACCTTCTCTCTCACACAGGTTAACGTGATGGCTGAGAATCAGTACTACCACCAGTACTACCACCAGCACTACCACCACCATCATTACCACCACCATCACTACCACCACCAGCACTACCACCACCATCATTACCACCACCAGTACTACTACCACCAGTACTACCACCAGTACTACCACCAGCACTACCACCACCATCATTACCACCACCAGTACTACCACCACCAGTACTACCACCAGTACTACCACCAGCACTACCACCACCTTCACTACCACCACCATCACTACCACCACTACCTTCTCTCTCACACAGGTTAACGTGATGGCTGAGAATCAGTACTACCGTCAGTACTACCACCAGTACTACCACCAGCACTACCACCACCATCATTACCACTATCATTACCTCCACCAGTACTACCACCTTCACTACCACCACCATCACTACCACCACTACCTTCTCTCTCACACAGGTTAACGTGATGGCTGAGAATCAGTACTACCACCAGTACTACCACCAGTACTACCACCACCATCATTACCACCACCAGTACTACCACCACCAGTACTACCACCAGTACTACCACCAGCACTACCACCATCACTACCACCACCATCATTACCACCACCTTCACTACCACCACTACCTTCTCTCTCACACAGGTTAACGTGATGGCTGAGAATCAGTACTACCACCAGTACTACCACCAGTACTACCACCATCACTACCACCACCATCATTACCACCACCTTCACTACCACCACTACCTTCTCTCTCACACAGGTTAACGTGATGGCTGAGAATCAGTTCCTTCATTCCATCACTAACATGCAGTTCCTTGACTCACCTGAGTTCGAGTCGTCAAGGGCGTCCTTGGAGGATAAATTCAAGGTCAGTATCGCTTCAGGTCACCTGGGGTCACATATGGTCATATAGGGACAGGTGTGGTCACATTGAGTCACCTGGGGTCATACTCTTGCAGTCGATAGGCGTTTAGCTTAACAAGCTATACATACCTATAGTGCCAGTATGACTTAGGCACTGTGCCACATAGGAGAATAAATCAGTGAATAAGGATACGGGAATATACGAGAGAAGAATGTTAGGGTGAGCAAGGGGGAGGGGTAGTTACAGCCATCTAGGGAAGGTGTACGTCCAGACTTAATAAAATATTGCAGGGTGGTACCATAGACTTTCACCTTCCATTCATCTCCCTTGTTTGTGTGTGGTGAGGGAGGGAGAGATAGGGGTAAGAGAAGGAAGAAAGTGGTAAGGTAAAAAGGGAAAAGGTGAGAAAGGGAGGGAAGGGAATCAGATTAGGAAAGAAGGGGTTCCCAAGGGTAGAAGACAACGTTTGAAGGCTTTGTTTATTTAAGATAGAGGACTGCATTGTATGTACCAGGTCACCGTGTGTACCAGGTCCCCGTGTGCACCAGGTCACCGTGTGTACCAGGTCCCCGTGTGCACCAGGTCACCGTGTGTATCAGGTCACCGTGTGTACCAGGTCACCGTGTGTACCAGGTCCCCGTGTGCACCAGGTCACCGTGTGTATCAGGTCACCGTGTGTACCAGGTCACCGTGTGTACCAGGTCACCGTGTGTATCAGGTCACCGTGTGTACCAGGTCACCGTGTGTACCAGGTCCCCGTGTGCACCAGGTCACCGTGTGTACCAGGTCACCGTGTGTACCAGGTCACCGTGTGTACCAGGTCACCGTGTGTACCAGGTCACCGTGTGCACCAGGTCACCGTGTGTACCAGGTCACCGTGTGTACCAGGTCACCGTGTGTACCAGGTCACCGTGTGTACCAGGTCACTGACCCAGGTCACCGTGTGTACCAGGTCACCGTGTGTACCAGGTCACCGTGTGTACCAGGTCACCGTGTGTACCAGGTCACCGTGTGTACCAGGTCACCGTGTGTACCAGGTCACCGTGTGTACCAGGTCACCGTGTGTACCAGTCACCGTGTGTACCAGGTCACCGTGTGTACCAGGTCACCGTGTGTACCAGGTCACCGGTGTGTACCAGGTCACCGTGTGTACCAGGTCACCGTGTGTACCAGGTCACCGTGTGTACCAGGTCACCGTGTGTACCAGGTCACCGTGTGTACCAAGTCACCGTGTGTACCAGGTCACCGTGTGCACCAGGTCACCGTGTGCACCAGGTCACCGTGTGTACCAGGTCACCTCGTGTGTACCAGGTCACCTCGTGTGTACCAGGTCACCGTGTGTACCAGGTCACCGTGTGTACCAGGTCACCGTGTGTACCAGGTCACCGTGTGTACCAGGTCACAGTGTGTACCAGGTCACCGTGTGTACCAGGTCACCGTGTGTACCAGGTCACCGTGTGTACCAGGTCACCGTGTGTACCAGGTCACCGTGTGTACCAGGTCACCGTGGTGTACCAGGTCACAGTGTGTACCAGGTCACCGTGTGTACCAGGTCACCGTGTGTACCAGGTCACCGTGTGTACCAGGTCACCGTGTGTACCAGGTCACCGTGTGTACCAGGTCACCGTGTGTACCAGGTCACCGTGTGTACCAGGTCACCGTGTGTACCAAGTCACCGTGTGTACCAGGTCACCGTGTGCACCAGGTCACCGTGTGCACCAGGTCACCGTGTGTACCAGGTCACCTCGTGTGTACCAGGTCACCTCGTGTGTACCAGGTCACCTCGTGTGTACCAGGTCACCTCGTGTGTACCAGGTCACCTCGTGTGTACCAGGTCACCGTGTGCACCAGGTCACCTCGTGTGTACCAGGTCACCTCGTGTGTACCAGGTCACCTCGTGTGTACCAGGTCACCGTGTGTACCAGGTCACCATGTGCACCAGGTCACCATGTGTACCATCACGATGTGTACCCAGGTTCACCGTGTGTACCAGGTCACCGTGTGTACCAGGTCACCATGTGTACCAGGTCACCGTGTGTACTAGGTCACCGTGTGTACCAGGTCACCATGTGTACCAGGTCACCGTGTGTACCAGGTCATCGTGTGTACCAGGTCACCGTGTGTACCAGGTCACCATGTGTACCAGGTCACCCCGTGTGTACCAGGTCACTGACCCAGGTCACCGTGTGTACCAGGTCACCGTGTGTACCAGGTCACCGTGTGTACCAGGTCACCGTGTGCACCAGGTCACCCCGTGTGTACCAGGTCACCATGTGTACCAGGTCACCGTGTGTACCAGGTCACCGTGTGTACCAGGTCACCGTGTGTACCAGGTCACCGTGTGCACCAGGTCACCGTGTGTACCAGGTCACCGTGTGTACCAGGTCACCGTGTGTACCAGATCACCGTGTGTACCAGGTCACCGTGTACCAGGTCACCGTGTGTACCAGGTCACCGTGTGTACAAGGTCACCCTGTGTACCAGGTCACCGTGTGTACCAGGTCACCGTGTGTACCAGGTCACTGTGTGTACCAGATCACCGTGTGTACCAGGTCACCGTGTGCACCAGGTCACCGTGTGCACCAGGTCACCGTGTGTACCAGGTCACCTCGTGTGTACCAGGTCACCTCGTGTGTACCAGGTCACCGTGTGCACCAGTCACCTCGTGTGACCAGGTCACCCGTGTGTACCAGGTCACCGTGTGCACCAGGTCACCTCGTGTGTACCAGGTCACCTCGTGTGTACCAGGTCACCTCGTGTGTACCAGGTCACCGTGTGTACCAGGTCACCATGTGTACCAGGTCACCATGTGTACCAGGTCGCGATGTGTACCAGGTCACCGTGTGTACCAGGTCACCGTGTACCAGGTCACCATGTGTTACCAGGTCACCGTGTGTACCAGGTCACCGAGTGTACCAGGTCACCATGTGATACCAGTCACCGTGTGTACCAGGTCATCGGTGTACCAGTCACCGTGTGTACCAGGTCACCATGTGTACCAGGTCACCCCGTGTGTACCAGGTCACTGACCCAGGTCACCGTGTGTACCAGGTCACCGTGTGTACCAGGTCACCGTGTGTACCAGGTCACCGTGTGCACCAGGTCACCCCGTGTGGTACCAGGTCACCATGTGTACCAGGTCACCGTGTGTACCAGGTCACCGTGTGTGTATCCAGGTCACCGTGTGTACCAGGTCACCGTGTGTACCAGGTCACCGTGTGCACCAGGTCACCGCCTCCTGTGTACCAGGTCACCGTGTGTACCGGCACTGACACCGTAAGTGTACCAGGTCACCGTGTGTACCAGGTCACCGTGTGTACCAGGTCACTGACCAGGTCACCGGTGTGTACACCAGGTCACCGTGTGTACCAGGTCACCGTGTGTACCAGGTCACCGTGTGTACCAGGTCACCGTGTGTACCAGGTCACCGGTGTGGCACCGGTCACGTCCGTGTGTACCAGTCACCGTGTGTACCAGGTCACCGTGTGCACCAGGTCACCGTGTGACCAGGTCACCGTGTGCACCAGGTCACCGTGTGCACCAGGTCACCGTGTGTACCAGGTCACCGTGTGTACCAGGTCACCGTGTGTACCAGGTCACCGTGTGTACCAGGTCACCGTGTCACCAGGTCACCGTGTGTACCGAGTCACCGTGTGTACCAGGTCAACGTGTGTAGCAGGTCACCGTGTGTACCAGGTCACCGTGTGCACCAGGTCACCGTGTGTACCAGGTCACCGTGTGTACCAGGTCACCGTGTGTACCAGGTCACCGTGTGTACCAGGTCACCGTGTGTACCAGGTCACCGTGTGCACCAGGTCACCCCGTGTGTACCAGGTCACTGACCCAGGTCACCGTGTGTACCAGGTCACCATGTGTACCAGGTCACCGTGTGTACCAGGCCACCGTGTGTACCAGGTCACCGTGTGCACCAGGTCACCCCGTGTGTACCAGGTCACTGACCCAGGTCACCGTGTGTACCAGGTCACCGTGTGTACCAGGCCACCGTGTGTACCAGGTCACCGTGTGTACCAGGTCACCGTGTGCACCAGGTCACCCCGTGTGTACCAGGTCACTGACCCAGGTCACCGTGTGTACCAGGTCACCATGTGTACCAGGTCACCGTGTGTACCAGGTCACCGTGTGTACCAGGTCACCGTGTGTACCAGGTCACCGTGTGTACCAGGTCACCATGTGTACCAGGTCACCGTGTGTACCAGGTCACCATGTGTACCATGTCACCGTGTGTACCAGGTCACCGTGTGTACCAGGTCACCATGTGTACCAGGTCACCGTGTGTACCAGGTCACCAGTGTGTACCAGGTCACCGTGTGTAGCCAGGTCACCGTGTGTACCAGGTCACCGTGTGCACCAGGTCACCGTGTGTAGCAGGTCACCGTGTGTACCAGGTCACCGTGTGCTACCAGGTCACCCGTGTGTACCAGGTCACTGCACCCAGGTCACCGTGTGTACCAGGTCACCGTGTGTACCAGGCTCACCGTGTGTACCAGGTCACCGTGTGCACCAGGTCACCCCGTGTGTACCAGGTCACTGACCCAGGTCACCGTGTGTACCAGGTCACCGTGTGTACCAGGTCACCGTGTGCACCAGGTCACCCCGTGTGTACCAGGTCACCGTGTGCACCAGGTCACCGTGTGTACCAGGTCACCGTGTGTAGCAGGTCACCGTGTGTACCAGGTCACCGTGTGCACCAGCTCACCGTGTGTACCAGGTCACCATGTGTACCAGGTCACCGTGTGTACCAGGTCACCGTGTGTACCAGGTCACCGTGTGTACCAGGTCACCGTGTGTACCAGGTCACCGTGTGTACCAGGTCACCGTGTGTACCAGGTCACCGTGTGTAACAGGTCACCATGTGTACCAGGTCACCATGTGTACCAGGTCACCGTGTGTACCAGGTCACCATGTGTACCAGGTCACCGTGTGTACCAGGTCACTGACCCAGGTCACCGTGTGTACCAGGTCACCGTGTGTACCAGGCCACCGTGTGTACCAGGTCACCGTGTGCACCAGGTCACCCCGTGTGTACCAGGTCACTGACCCAGGTCACCGTGTGTACCAGGTCACCGTGTGTAGCAGGTCACCGTGTGTACCAGGTCACCGTGTGCACCAGGTCACCGTGTGTACCAGGTCACTGACCCAGGTCACCGTGTGTACCAGGTCACCGTGTGTACCAGGCCACCGTGTGTACCAGGTCACCGTGTGCACCAGGTCACCCCGTGTGTACCAGGTCACTGACCCAGGTCACCGTGTGTACCAGGTCACCGTGTGTACCAGGTCACCGTGTGTACCAGGTCACCGTGTGTACCAGGTCACCGTGTGTACCAGGTCACCGTGTGCACCAGGTCACTGACCCAGGTCACCCCGTGTGTACCAGGTCACTGACCCAGGTCACCGTGTGTACCAGGTCACCGTGTGCACCAGGTCACCCCGTGTGTACCAGGTCACTGACCCAGGTCACCGTGTGTACCAGGTCACTGACCCAGGTCACCCCGTGTGTACCAGGTCACTGACCCAGGTCACCCCGTGTGCACCAGGTCACCCCGTGTGTACCAGGTCACTGACCCAGGTCACCCCGTGTGTACCAGGTCACTGACCCAGGTCACCCCGTGTGTACCAGGTCACCGTGTGCACCAGGTCACCGTGTGTACCAGGTCACTGACCCAGGTCACCGTGTGTACCAGGTCACTGACCCAGGTCACCCCGTGTGTACCAGGTCACTGACCCAGGTCACCCCGTGTGTACCAGGTCACCGTGTGCACCAGGTCACCCCGTGTGTACCAGGTCACTGACCCAGGTCACCCCGTGTGTACCAGGTCACTGACCCAGGTCACCCCGTGTGTACCAGGTCACTGACCCAGGTCACCCCGTGTGTACCAGGTCACTGACCCAGGTCACCGTGTGTACCAGGTCACTGACCCAGGTCACCCCGTGTGTACGAGGTCACTGACCCAGGTCACCCCCCGTGTGTACCAGGTCACTGACCCAGGTCACCCCGTGTGTACCAGGTCACTGACCCAGGTCACCCCGTGTGTACCAGGTCACTGACCCAGGTCACCCCGTGTGTACCAGGTCACTGACCCAGGTCACCCCCGTGTGTACCAGGTCACTGACCAGGTCACCCCGTGTGTACCAGGTCACTGACCCAGGTCACACCCCGTGTGTACCAGGTCACTGACCCAGGTCACCCCGTGTGTACCAGGTCACTGACCCAGGTCACCCGTGTGTACCAGGTCACTGACCCAGGTCACCCCGTGTGTACCAGGTCACTGACCCAGGTCACCCCGTGTGTACCAGGTCACTGACCCAGGTCACCCCGTGTGTACCAGGTCACTGACCCAGGTCACCCCGTTGTGTACAGGTCACTGACCCAGGTCACCCCGTGTGTACCAGGTCACTGACCCAGGTCACCCCGTGTGTACCAGGTCACTGACCCAGGTCACCCCGTGGTGTACCAGGTCACTGACCCAGGTCACCCCGTGTGTACCAGGTCACTGACCCAGGTCACCCCGTGTGTACCAGGTCACTGACCCAGGTCACCCCGTGTGTACCAGGTCACTGACCCAGGTCACCCCGTGTGTACCAGGTCACTGACCCAGGTCACCCCGTGTGTACCAGGTCACTGACCCAGGTCACACCCGTGTGTACCAGGTCACTGACCCAGGTCACCGTGTGTACCAGGTCACTGACCCAGGTCACCCCGTGTGTACCAGTCACTGACCCAGGTCACCGTGTGTACCAGGTCACTGACCCAGGTCACCCCGTGTGTACCAGGTCACTGACCCAGGTCACCCCGTGTGTAACCAGGTCACTGACCCAGGTCAACCCCGTGTGTACCAGGTCACTGACCCAGGTCACCCGTGTGTACCAGGTCACTGACCCAGGTCACCGTGTGTACCAGGTCACTGACCCAGGTCACCCCGTGTGTACCAGGTCACTGACCCAGGTCACCGTGTGTACCAGGTCACTGACCCAGGTCACCCCGTGTGTACCAGGTCACTGACCCAGGTCACCCCGTGTGTACCAGGTCACCGTGTGCACCAGGTCACCCCGTGTGTACCAGGTCACCGTGTGCACCAGGTCACCCCGGGTGTACCAGGTCACTGACCCAGGTCACCCCGGGTGTACCAGGTCACTGACCCAGGTCACCCCGGGATAGTAAGCAGAGAAAACAATCTATTTGTTTCAATATTAAGTCACATTAGTAGAGGATGAAGATTGTAATTAATGTTTTGTGTAGAGAGAGGAGCCAGGAAAATGTATGTGTAGGATAAGGCAAGAGGAAGGAAGGAAGACTGGGAGAGGAGAGAAGGGCAAGAGGGAGGAAGACTGAGAGAGGAGAGAAGGGCAAGAGGGAGGAAGACTGAGAGAGGAGAGAAGGGCAAGAGGGAGGAAGACTGGGAGAGGAGAGAAGGGCAAGAGGGAGGAAGACTGGGAGAGGAGAGAAGGGCAAGAGGAGGGTTAGGAGAGAAAGGCAAGAGGGAGGAAGACTGGGAGAGGAGAGAAGGGCAAGAGGGAGGAAGACTGGGAGAGGAGAGAAGGGCAAGAGGGAGGAAGACTGGGAAGAGGAGAGAAGGGCAAGAGGAGGGTTAGGAGAGAAAGGCAAGAGGGAGGAAGACTGGGAGAGGGACAGAGGGAGATAAAGTGGTGGAAACAAAGAGAAGTGACAACTCACTGAGACACAGTGAACCATCTATATCTTCAATCTCTGTTTTTTCCCCAGCCACTTCTTTCCTCCGTCTGTGTCCCTCCCTTCTTTCTTCCCTCCCTCCCTCCTTTCTTCCCTCCCTCCCTCATTTCTTCCCTCCCTCCCTCCCTCACTCACTCACCTTTAACTCAGGTAAATAATTAGCTGTGAGCCTGAGGCGAGACTCCGCTGCCAGGCGCACCTTGCGACAATGGTGCACAGATCTGTACTCGCCCATCTGTGTTGTGTGGGGGTCGAGGCATAGCTCCTGCTACCGCCCCTTGAACTAATCTGACTGGTGTAAGTGATTCTTGCCTTCCTGGACCTTTCCAGACTCTGCTGGTTCCTCAGCCATTTCCTTCAACTTCCCTTCTATTCTGAGAATTAATCAGTGTATTCTGATATTCTGTTGAGCCTACCAGGTTCAAACAGTCTGTGTCTATCTGCCCTTTCCATTTCTCTTGGTATCTTGTACGTCGTGATCATGTCTTCCCTGGTTCGTCTCTCTTTCGAGGTGGTTAAGATCAGTTCCTTCAGTCTCTAGTCATGATTGCTAATGTTTGGAACTTCTTAGTCTTTTGTTGAATGTTTCCTAAGCTGAGGACTGAATGTGTAAGTCTGACATGTGTAGTGTATAAGTCTAACATATGTAATGTGTAAGTCTGACATGTGTAATGTATAAGTCTGACATGTGTAGTGTATAAGTCTGACATGTGTAATGTATAAGTCTGACATGTGTAGTGTATAAGTCTGACATGTGTAGTGTATAAGTCTGACATGTGTAGTGTATAAGTCTGACATGTGTAGTGTATAAGTCTGACATGTGTAAT